ACACACACACACACGAAACACCTTCAGCTCCTTAAAGTCCAGACTGTCCGTCCTCCATTGTTGGACCTGCTGATCTCACAGAGCTCTTATTGTCCGTCTTTGTGTCCATTCAGGCCTCGAGGACAAAGGACAGACCCCCCCCCCACACACACACACCCCTCTAATCAGGGCATTCTACAACGACACATTAATCTCCCCCCCTCCTCTCAGTGTTGTCATCCTCTGCTCCAACCAACAAACACCTCCAGCTGTTTCTGAGAGGGGGTGTGATGACAGGTGTTTATCAGAAGGTATATATATATAAGATATATAAGGTATATACATCAGGTATATAAGGTAAATAAGGTACATATGTTATATAAGTTATATAAGGTATATAATGTAAATAAGGTATATAAGTTGTATAATGCTGCGTTCACACCAAACGCGGCGCAAATTATTCGCGCGAGTAGATTACATACAAAGTCTATGCACAGTTGCGATGAGACTGGAGTGACGCGAATGCGCGCTTGACGCGGATTCGGGCGAAGTCGCGCGAATTCAAACTCAAACACGTGTGTTGAAATTTTTTAAACTTCGGCGAAAAAATGGCGTGACGCTGCGGCGCGATAGCCTATCAGCGTTTAGATGTTTTTCCTGTCATCACTGACGTTCTGCCGTTGTTGAATCAGGAAATAAATACTGTAGCCGTCTGTGTTCACCCAGAGCTCTACGATACCTCATATCAATAGAGACCGGACCAAACTATGTGTATACATGTGTGTGTGTAAACCATATGGTACAAACAATGAATAGACGCTCCCGTATTTACGTCTAGATGACGTTATTCTGAGTGTTGGTGGAGCTGCTACAATGTTAGCATAGCCTAGCACCGACCCATCAGAGCTCCTTTGAGAAGACAAGTATTTTAAAAGTTATTTGCTTTTTTGTTTTTTGTCGGTTTATTGCCGTTAAATCACAGCCAAATCAGTTTATTTTGTGTTCATACAGCTGTAGTAAACAGCGACGTGTGGCTTGCTAGACACAGTGAATACACTTCGATAAAATCCACGGAGCTCCTCTGGACAATGTTATGAACCAGACATGACGGTGTTTAGTTTCCCGGGATATCTGTGACTTCCACAACACGTACTAAGCAGAAATAGAGGTTATTTTTTCCATGGTTAATGGCGGACAGCTGAACGGCTTTCAGTGTGATAAGCCACACCCCCTCTCTGGCGCGTCCAGCGCGATTCGCGCGAATGAACACAAATGGTCCCCGGCGAGACCGGCGGCGCGAATGACGCGATTGGTGTGAACACGGCATAAGGTGTATAAGTTATATAAGGTAAATAAAGAAGTGAACTCTGACTCATGTGATGGATCAGGAGCTGCAGACAATAGACGCTACGACTTTAACATCATGTCAAAGGGCGTGAACACAAAAAACTCTCAATATGAACAGAAAGAAATTATAAAAATGAATCCCAAAAAACAGAAATACACAACCTTTTCTTCAGTTTCACTTTCGGCTGCTTGAAAACTAAACAATCCAACAAGCTTTAATATTTTAATCCTCAATTTCAACTCAACCTCTTTAACTGTTCATTAATATGTAAATATCTCAATTAAATAGGTATATATGTATACATATATGTATAAATAAGACTGCTTCCAGTCTTTGTGCTAAGCTAGGCTAACCGTTTCCATCTGATTCCAGTCTTTGTGCTAAGCTAAACATGATTCACAGATTTATCATAAGGACTCTGGATGATAAAGTGAACCTAATCACAGCTGAACGTACCTGAGAGGTTTCCTCTGGTCCATCAATAAACATCCAGGAGTCCACTTTATAGATCAATAATCATATAGATCAATAATCATATCCAATAATCATCCAAAAAGAACAATCATAGATCCAATAATCATATAGATCAATAATCATATAGATCCAATAATCATATAGATCAATAATCATATAGATCAATAATCATATAGATCCAATAACAACAATCATATAGATCCAATAATCATATATATCCAATAAGAAGAATCATATAGATCCAATAATCATATAGATCCAATAAGAAGAATCATATAGATCCAATAATCATATAGATCCAATAACAACAATCATATAGATCCAATAATCACATAGATCCAATAACAACAATCATATAGATCCAATAATCACATAGATCCAATAACAACAATCATATAGATCCAATAATCATACAGATCAATAATCATATAGATCCAATAAGAATAATCATATAGATCCAATAATCGTATAGATCCAATAATCACATAGATCCAATAATCACATAGATCCAATAACAACAATCATATAGATCCAATAATCATATAAATCCAATAACAACAATCATATAGATCCAATAATCATATAGATCCAATAACAACAATCATATAGATCCAATAATCATATAGATCCAATAAGAAGAATCATATAGATCCAATAATCATATAGATCAAGAAGAATAATCATATAGATCCAATAAGAAGAATCATATAGATCCAATAATCATATAGATCCAATAAGAAGAATCATATAGATCCAATAATCACATAGATCCAATAAGAAGAATCATATAGATCCAATAATCACATAGATACAATAAGAACAATCATATAGATCCAATAATCATATCGATCCAATAAGAACAATCATATAGATCCAATAATCATATCGATCCAATAAGAAGAATCATATCGATCCAATAATCATATAGATCCAATAAGAAGAATCATATAGATCCAATAATCATATAGATCCAACAATCATATAGATCCAATAATCATATAGATCCAATAAGAAGAATCCATCAGATCCAACAGATCGTCCTCGTCCAGGTGCGTCCACATCCTGCCGCTCACTGAAAGGTAATGAGAGATGAAACAAGCTCTCTCTCTCTCTCCCTCTCTCTCTGTCTCTCTCTCTCTCTCTCTCCCTCCCTCTGTCTCTCTCTCCCTCTCTCTCTCTCTCTCCCTCTCGCTCTCTCTTCCTCTCTCTATCTCTCCCCTGAGAGCAGATCACCTGAACCATTGGCGGAGGAGATAAGAAGGCTCTGCTCTGGATAATGAGGTCGCTGCCTAGCGGCTAAGAGCTGGAAGTGATTCATCAAACACAGGTAACAGACGTAGAAGAGTATGTGGACGGTTATCCCACAGGGTGTCAATATATTTATGGCCACCTATTGAAGCTAGTACAGACCAGTAGATCCCAGTTACTTCTTCATGAATCTGTGGGAACGTTGTGA